CGGTCCCAGAACTCCGCCCTAAGTACCGACGGCTTTAGCTCAACGCGACGTGAGAGAAGAGAAGTGCTAGGCAGGGCCGTTTCTTTTAGCGGTCTGACGGACGGCCTTCTTGACGGAACGCGCCCTAGTGCACTACGTTTTCGGTTAACTTCAAACGAACTTTTCTCCTGCTCCTTTGGAATTGACGAATGGATTCGGTCGACGCTTGGCTGCCGTCGTTGCTCCATGTTGGCGTTTCATGGCCGTTGTTACCTGCGTCTTTGACGTTCTTGGTAGCGGCGGGTTCAGCGGAATCGACAGTCGGGGCGAGAGCGGGCTATTCTAGCGTAGCGGGTTAGTCTACGGGGCGAGGGGTGAAGCGCGGCAGACGGCCGTCAGCTCACTGTAGTCCTACTTTAGGCGTTCGAAGGTCCCTGAAGACCCCTCGAGGTCGACGACGTCGAAGCATGATCTTCGGAGCTCGACTGAGATAGCAGACGGGTGGACGGCTGTACAGTGAGGTGGGGTTTCCACTATTTAACACTCGAAAGGACGCTCGGAGAAGGGAACAAAGAGGGAGAAGAAAGGGGTAAGTCTTAGTATTGTCTTTATATTTTTCTGTGTATTGTTTGTGAGCGAAGCGTTGTTGCAACGACCGAACAAACGGTATGTTGCTTGTTGTTGTTGTGTGTGCTTTGTAGAACTGTGTGACCGACACTAGTTATGGAGTGGGATGGAGTGGGATGGAATGGCTTGGCTGGATGTGGATGTAGATGTGGAAGTAGTGTGTGTTGGAAGTGGTACTGAAGTGCTTACCTGAAATGTCTGGCACGAGTCTTTCGGCAGCTCCTGCGTTACAGGTACCGACTCGTCATGCCGGTGAGTGTTGAAGATGGTCAGGTGGAGCGACATCGAGAGGAGCTCGGGGGGCAGCTGGTCAGGTTCCTGGTCGTCTTACCGGGAGTCGTCTGGTGGCAGTGTAATAAGGCTGTTCGGTAGCTCGCTCGTGTGCCTCTAGGAGTCGAACAGCTGTCTCGAGACTTCTTCTTGGACCACGCCGACGGTTCGGTCCTGGGGGGCGGGCTCGTCCAGAGGGACAGTGGGAGTAAGGTGCGGCAGGACGCGTTCCGAGTTCTTGACGTCTCCCATGTCTTCCTATGGATGTAACGGTAACTGGTGGAGTAGTGCCGAGACCGCCTCCTGGGGCCTTACGTTCGGCAGGACTTCCTCCCGTTGTAAGGGTTCGGGTTCGACGAGGTCCTCCGATAGGTCCGGTAAGCGCCGTGGTTCGCCCAGCTGTCGTTCTTGCGTCTGTGCCTTAGTCTCTTGCTCTTGAACCGGTTCAAGTGGTAGCTGTACTGGCGGGACCGCTCTCTCTTCTTCTAGCTGGGACACTAGCCGGCTCTTCTTCTCTAGGCTGCCCAGCAGGCTTAGGACAGGGCGTCTTGTTTCTTGTTGGGCCAGGACTAACCACTCGGACCACAGCCGTTCTGTTGGCAGCAGCTCCCGGACCGGGTCGCATAGCAGTTGGCTCTGCACGGGCTGTTAGAGTTCCGGACGTTCGAGGAGAGCGAGCTGCAGCCACGAGAACAACGACCGTCGTTCAAGGCACCACTCAAGCTCCTCTCTTACTTCCCACACGGCCAATTGCTGGGCCTGTTGCGATCCGGAGTGCGATTTGCGCATTCCGGCCGACCGCAGGGGACCAGCCAGGCAGCTCAGACCGCACAGGGCCATGGCGAGGACATCTGGGTGTTTGCCCACCGACGGTCGGAGCAGGTCATCTACAGCCTGTCCAAAAAATTGGATGTCAGTTTTCTCTTCTTCTTTATGACTAGCTTGACCCTGTGCGTGTATCTTACTTGTTTTTTCATCGTAGGGATACCATGACCTGAAGCAGCTGCCGTTCAACGGCAAAAAGACCAAGCCCGCAAAGGTGCTCAAAGACTACTGGTCGCCGCTCGCCCACATCCGATTCCAGCCCGGCCAAGGATCCATCGGCCGGTCCGTATTCCAAAAGCTGCGGGAGCTCAAGCACCTCCACGAGGTCGCGTGGGGAGACGAGATGCGACGCAAGCGGCCGGAGGAGTTCACCGACGAGGACAAGAAGAAGATTGCCGAGGAGAAGGAGAAGGGATTCGACTACCAGCCCATCCGGAGCAAGAAGGAGCGCGGGCTCGCGCTCAATGCGCAGAAGAAGAACGCCATTGCCGACATGGCGTATGTCCTGGCGGGCGGAGGCCGAGGCAACAAGCTCGTGACCGCGGAGACTGAAGAAGGCGGCAAGCAGTTGGTGGACGTCACCGTGAACTGGGCCAACGACCAGGACAAGAAGTACGCTGAATCATGGTCGAAGAACGTCACGCACTCTCTGCTTGAGGTGCCGGCGTATACATCAGGAGAGTCCCAAAAGGAGGTTGAGGCTACGAAGGCGACAGCGTGAGACTAGATGATGGAACGAAGCACTTGATTTGACGAGGCTATGGCGGGGGACCACACCACGGATATGATGGCTCAAAAGGACACCATGGAAGGATGTACTGGTAACAACATGAAGGCGGGGGCTTGGACATGAGTCTTGATTTCAAAAAGCGACGTTGCTTTCTCATGTAAAAAGATTCGGTGGGCATATAAGCCAGACCGTTATACTTGTATCATAGACTAAGAAAAAAAAAACGAAAGAGATTCTCCGAATCCAGCCAAATAAGAAATACCCTTTATCCTTTACCCAGCCATGATATTCGTTAGACATTA